TGGGTAGTGAGGCCAGACCCTAGCCGTATCAGGTTGAGAGGTCTGGAGTTAACTGAAGGAGAGACTGCAGGTTTCTGAGCGCGTAGACTGCCTTTTTATTGTTGTTCAATACAGTTGAGGCCCTCAGAAAAAATTCGTTGGATGAATGAGGCCTGGTAGGTTGTTGAGAGAGCATCTCTATTCTGGTCTCTTGCCTGCAGGGGGTGCTTCTACGGCAAGGCTCATGAAGAGTTTTAACGCCATGGTCTCTTAGAAGAAATGGTTGTCCTCTGTCTTTGGAAAAGTCCTCAGGTGCTCTACCTTCAGCCATCACTCACCCCCTACCACCAGGTGGGGTGTGGTGGGGACGCTGAGAGGTGCTGAGTTGGTGTGCTTGCATGTGCGGGTGGGTGGGGCAGGATTCATCATCTGGAGTCCTGGGTGGCTCTCAGGGAACCCTGATGTGGACAGTTTTTTTTTTTTGTGAGGAAGATCAGCCCTGTGCTAACATCTGCCAATCCTCCTCTTTTTGCTGAGGAAGACTGGCCCTGGGCTAACATCTGTGCCCATCTTCCTCCATGTTAGATGGGACGCCGCCACAGCATGGCTTGACAAGCGATGCATCGGTACACACCCGGGATCTGAACCCTGGGCCGCCGCAGCGGAGCGCGTGCACTTAACTGCTACGCCACCGGGCCAGCCCCAATGTGGACAGTTTTGGTGAAACTGTGAGGTGTCCTGTGGATTGGAGGCAGGGAACCTACCCATATACAGCGCTGGTTATTTATTAGCCCTTGGCGGTTTGATTCCTTTCAGGTGCAGGTAAGAGTCTCATCCATTTCAGTGTCGTTTCTGCTCTTCAGTCAGAGACTGAATTGGGGTCAACAGCTGATGTCCTTAATGCTGCCAATAGAATAAGTGCTTATTCCTCTTATAACAGAGGATTTCAGCCCTCCCACCCAAGGACCCTCTCTTGGGGATGCGAAACAAAGGGAGTCTTGATGACTGGGGCTCATCTTGGAGAAGTTCTCGGGGGCTTCCCCTTTCACCATCACTCACCCCTGCTGGCTGCCTTCCCCAGGAGGGGTCTGGCCTGGAAGCAGGTTGTGGTGTTCTCCTGTTCTGCTGCCTTCTCCCCTGGTCTCTCCTAGCCCCCCATCTTCCATTGCCTCTTCTTTCCAGGGGGATGCCTACCCCTGCTCAGAGGTTACCTCTGTTTAGTTCTCAGTCCTGGGCCTTGATACGTCTGGGTGCCTCTCTTACCTGGAGCCAGTGTGGAAGCACGTGTTGGCACGCACATGTGTGTTTGTGTGTGTGTGTGTGTGTGTGTGTGTGTCAGTGCCACCCTTGAAGGTGGCCAACTCCACTAGCCCCAGGGTGGAGGGGTGGGATGAGGTCTCATCCTGCCTCCTCTTTGCTCTGCACCTGCCTCTCCTGTGAACACATATAGTGGCTGCTCCATTTGCCAGCAAACACATATTGAGCACCTGCTGCATGCTGAAGAGAATTCTGGGGAAGCAGAGGTGATTCTACCCTGTCCTCTGGGCAACCCCACCCCAAGGGAAAGGTGTGTGGAGAGGAGAGGGGACAGGGTACGAGCACAAAAGAACATGGTGAGCACTCTGGAAACAGCTGCTGTGGGAGTCCAGGCCTAGGGGGTTGGGCTGGCAGTAGCCAGTCAGGGAAGGCTTTGCAGACCAAGTCTAGAGTTTCTGCAGAACCCAGGGCAAACCTGAGGACTTACGGAAGCTGGCAGTGGGACAGGTGAATCTGAAATAGTTAATAAAACAGGAAGCTTGAATCAAGCAGTCCCCATGTCCTGCCCGCTGGTGAAGTGTCAGAAATGGTGGCTGTGGCCACTGCCTTCTCCAGGGGCATGAGCGCTTTTAAGGTGTCTGAGGGCCCGGGGTTGGGCTAATCACTGTGGCATAGGGCTTGTGAAGGGACTGCCCAAGGGATCCATGGCCATGTCTTCCCTCTGGGCTGGGGTGGAATGGTACCACATGTGTGCATTTCATAAAAGGTGACCCTGAGGGCTCCTCAGAGATCCTAGTTAGGAAGACAGCACAGGTGTTAAAAGGATGATCTGAGCTGATGGGTTCACCCTGCCCTGTCTGTGTTCTCATTGCACCTGCCCCCGGGAATGGGGTTTGGTCACATGATGAGCAGAGGCGGGTCCTTGGCTCCACTCTGGCCTCCTGAGCCCAGCAGCCAGCTCCATGCCAGGCTTCCTATGACCTGCCGACCTGGAAGGGGAGCAAGGGGCCAGAACCTTTATCTGGCCAGCTCCCTGCTCCCTGCGCCGAAACCAGGTGCCGCCAGTGACACAAACAGCTGAAGCTGGGGAGGGATTCCTTTCTGTTCGGAGCTCCTGATTACTAGTAGTGACTTCAACCTCTTATCCACAAAAAATAATATATTCAAAGATACCTTTTACGAACCTTTCAGAAGTCATCGCCTGTCATGTTTAGCTTAAGCTCTTATGCTAAAAATAATTATGAAACTTTGATTTTTGAAAAGTTTTATCTGCATTACATTTGTACAAACTTACGTAGCCTTAGCAGTGGGCGGAGAAACCACGGTTTCTGTTCCTCTTGGTCCTCCTGCTGGCCCAGCCTCAGCGAATAGCACCACCATTTACACCCAGCCTCCCAGATCACAAACCTGGGCGTCAGCAGCCCAGACTTCTTTTCTGCCTATCCCCCACCCGGTCGCTTCTGTGTGGTTCTCTACTCAGTTCCTTACTCCCCTAGACCCTCAGCGACTCCGCCCCACCCCGCCCAGTAGGTTCGGGGTTGATCAGGAGGTGTACTCCTTTCTCCCGGCGCCTCCCCTTCCTGGGTGCATTTGGGTTCATCACCGTTTGCCCCTCGCACCCGCTTCCTCTCCACAGGCAGCTCCTCTTTAGCAAAATGTAAACCGTTAGTGAAGCAAGTTCTGGATGCCCAAGTTCTAAGTATCCTTCTGGGTGCCTGAGGTTTTAGCCGGGTTTTAACTGCATGTGTCTTTCACTAATGGCTAGATCTTAGATGTTAAACAGGTTGGGCCTGGAGACAGTTCATAGTTCTTTTCTTACAAATGTAAATAGAAATTGCCTTGGGCTGTGAAACCATTTCTGAAATGGATTCCATTATAGCTACAACAGAAAAGCAAGGAAGAATACAAAGAAACCATTTGTTTCCTTTTTTGAAAGTTTTTGTAACTTTTTGATGTAATGTCAAATTTATTAAAAAGTTGCAAGGAAAATACAGGGAACTCCCATATCCTTTACCTGGATTCACCAACTGTTAATTTCACCTGCCTTGTTTTATCCCATCTGTGAATGTGGTATATATGCTATATAAGTACATAAGTATTTGTTTGAAGCATTAGAAAAATCGGTTGGCGACAGCATGCCCCTTTCCCCCTAAATATATCAGTATATTTCCTAAGAACAAGGGCTATGTACTTACATAGCCAAAGTACAGTTATTAAGATCAGGAAATTTAACATTAATCTAATACTGTTTTCTAATCCACGGTCTATGTTCAAATTTTATCATTTATTTCAATAATCTTCTTTAAAAGCTTTATATCCCCATGGTCCAGGTTGTGGTACTGGGTCACCCGTTGCATTTAATTTTCAGATCTCTTTAGTCTCCCTTTTTAATCTGGAACAGTTCTTCAGCCTTTATTTGTCTTTCGTGACCCTGGCAATTTTAGAGTCTAGATCCGTTATTTCATAGACTGTCCCTCCGTCTGGGTGTGTCTGCTTTTCCTCATGGTTAGATTCAGGTGATGCATTTGTGGGTAACCGCCATCCATCCACATGGTGGTGTTCTCAGTGCATCAGAGCAGGTGGCCTGTGCTGTCTGTCCTAATGTTGGGGATGCCAGCTTTGATTGCTTGGCTAAGGTTTCTCCACTGTAAATTAACTATTTTTGCCTTTGTAAATTAACAAGTAATTTGTTGGAGATAATTTCAAACTACATAAAAATCCTTTTCCTCATTCAGCTTTCACCTACATACTAGGTTTAGCATCATTTCCTACTAACTCCATCAGTCTTTCTATACTTATAGGGGGCGTTCTAAAAGTTTTCCTTCCTCTTTCGTTTATTTATTTGTATCTATTTGGGCTCATGGATTTCTGTTTTATTCAATGGGTTATAATCCCTTGTTCTCATTATCTATTTTCATGATTAACTTCTTCTGGATTTAGTCAGTGGGAGCCCTTTCAAGCTGGCTACTGTTCTGTTAGACACGTGCCCTATTTCTTTGAGCACTTTCTTTCTAGCACACAAGATGCTGCAGGCTTGTCTTATACTTTGCAGTGAACCCTGGAAACCATTTGTTTTTAATAAATGCACCAATACAGTACATTCCAAAACACAGTTTATTTTGTACTACCAGTTAGGATTTATTTGTGTTATCTGCGACTTTTGTTTACATGTTGTGGAGAGAGAAGACCTCTGGCTATCTCATGAGTAGCATTCTTTTTTTGATACTTGGAGACTATAAATAGATAATATAGACTTACCTTACAGATAATTTAAACTAAGATAGAGGTTAAATACTAAAGCAGCTGTTATTCTTTAAGCACTGATTGTGTACTTGTAATTTTAATTCGTGTAAAGACCCTTGTTAAACCTAAGGAAACTGAGACTCAGAGAGGTTAATATACAGGTCAGAGTCACACAGCTAGCGAATGGTTGAGCTAGGGTTTCAATTCAATTTGGTCTGACTTTAAAGCTCACTTTTTCTGATATACTTTGCTATGATAAAAGACATTTCCTTACTCTAAATTATAGCTTTTGTACGTTAACAATTGAATAGCAAAAAGCTTATTTGTGGTTCAGGATCTTTTAGCCTGCTGCACAATTCTGTGTCTCTATGAAAATCAAGTCTGAAGAATTAAAGTTTGTGGTTCATCACATTGTTCTTGCAAAGGAAAGTCTGCTTGTTTTCATTAGAGAGTGACTCGGCTGTCCTAGTGTTTCTGTAAATACCCAGAAATTCCCTAACTGTTTTATTTTCTTCTTATAGGAATTTGCTTGCTAGAAAACAAAATGCAAGACTTGACAGACAAAGTGACTTGGGATGGAAACTATTTGGAAAAGTACCGCTCCGAGAGAATGTTCAGAAAGATTCAAAGAAAATACAAAAGGTATACGAGATACAAAAACACGGAAATATGCTGTACAGCATGTATTTATGAACTTTGTAAAAATGGCCAGTATTGAGGCTTTGAAATTGGAAAACTTTGTATTAATTTGCATACTAAATTCCTAAAATTTAAGTCTGTCTTCAGAATGTCGATGACTTTAACCTTTTTCATTTCTTACAGCTTGTAACATGCGCATAGGAAGGTTTAGTCGAGAGAGCTTGGCTTTAGGTGTTTATCTTGGCTTTAGATATTTATAAGTTGATTTCATTTAATCATTTTTCAATAATAGTTGCAAACATGTTTACTGTCATATTTTTATTAATTGTTTCATATCAAAGCATTCTCCCTCTCTGATTCCATGGGTTTCTTGGAACTTAATCCTTCCAGTGCTGCTAGGGCCATTGTTCACCCAGGCTATAGTGTGACCCCCTTTCCTTTGCTGGCTCTGAAGCTGCCCACTTCTCTGCAGGGGAGGGGACAGGGTTCAGGGGTTCCAGGTCAGGCAGGCCTGTGGTATCACATCACTGCCAGGCTGCTCACGCCCCATGGAGGGAGTGATGCCAGCAGCTGGAGGCATGTGCTCATCTTTTCAAAGAGGGGCTCATGCACAGACACAGCAAGGCCAGGGGGTATCTGTGGCCTTGGTAGCCCTGAGTATTACCACCTGCCTCTTCCTCCTGGCCCTGAGTCCTAGCCATCCTAACAGTCTGCTGTTTGCCCAGGGCTGTGACACTGCCCTCGGCAGCCTTACCCTCCAACCTCGTATTCATTTGTATATGTATACATGAATACAACCTTTGTATTCATTGACAGTTGTCCACTAACCACTTCTGAGGACCTGCTAAGTGTCAGGCCTCATGCTTGGCACTGGGGTTAGAGAAATGACACAGCACCTATTCTCAAGAGCACCCCTCTGGTGAGGAGATGATTCCAGTGCAGGTGTGGAAAGGAGCACCACAGGGGTGTGGGGAGGGAGGCAGGGCCTGCTGGGCAAAGCCGCACAGAAGATTGAGTTTAAAGATATGACAAAGAATTCATAATAATGGCCATCATGTATTGAATGATTACTATGTGCTAGTTTTAAGTGAGTCAGCACTTGGGTTTCTAGTTCATTTAAAACTCGCAGCAACCTTCTGAAGAAGATACTATTATTGTCCTCATTTTACCAAAGAAGCACTAAGACACAGCTGAGTGACTTGTGCAGCTAGTAAGTAGCAGAGCTGGAATTCAGCCCCTGGCACTCGAGGCCAGGGCCCTCGCTGCTCCTCTGCTTTTGTAGGAAGCGGCTGGCAGGTAGTGGTGGTGGCACATGCTAGGGGACAGTGTGCAGCGTGAGCCCAGGGAGCAGTGAGAGGGCCTATCCATGGGGCCTGTGTGATGTGATGTGATGTGCTGGGAACCTGTCTCTAACCTGAAGGCTCTGGGAGCCCCTGAAGGGTTTTACTCACGTAAGGAGTGATGAGGTCACACTGGCAAGAACGTGGCTCTTGGACTAGTCCAGGTAAGAGAAAGTAGGGTCCGGTTCAATGTGGCGGTAGTTGTGGGGTTGCAGAGGACAGCTCCTTCGAGTATTAAACATGTTAGAAACAGGGATGCAGCATGTGGGGCTAGGCGGTGAGCACACACTGGGGCTCTGACTTGGACAACAAGGTGGGTTTGCACATATTTCATTTTTTTATGTCTCAGCAAATTAAATTTGTTTTGAATGTTGTCTAACATTTCCTATAGCAGTTGTCTGGATCCAGGAGACTTGCAAAGTAAATCAGTGTTGGAATTCATTTTTGTAGATTGTTATATTTTGAATTTGAATCACTTATTTTGTAGGCTTATTAAAATAGCATACAATTAAAATGTGATGAGGGCCAGCCCCGTGGCTTAGCGGTTAAGTGCGTGCGCTCGGCTACTGGCAGCCCGGGTTCGCATCCCGGTCGCGCACCGACGCACCGCTTCTCCGGCCATGCTGAGGCCACGTCCCACATACAGCAACTAGAAGGATGTGCAGCTATGACATACAACTATCTACTGGGGCTTTGGGGAGAAAAAATAAATAAATAAAATTATAAAAAAAAAAAAAATGTGATGAGTTCGTATTCAAAGCTCATCTATAAATTTCTTAGGCAACTAAGTAACCAAACTGTTATAAATTTTTTAAAGAAATCCACACTTTCAAAAAAGTAACCTTTATACTAAATAGGTTTTCCCGGTGACTCTTAATATCACTTGCATGCTGTTTGAATTTGTTTGTTATCTTTGTCGTACCCTGGCTTTTTTTTTTTTTTTTTAAGGTAAACATGGGTTATGTTCTTGAACTTATAGATTTTCGTTATGTGGTAACACAATACTGTAAAGAAGGGGACCGTCTGGCTTCGACCATCAATAATAAAGGATGTAACCGTACCTGCACGAGGCCTACGATCCTGCCCGTGTCCTGTTTGCCTGGGCTTTGTCTTTCTGGCCCTCTCATCTCTCATCCCACCCCACCCTCCTGCAAGCTGGCAAGGCCTGAGAGGGATCCAGAGCCAGGGACCTGCCGCTGTGGGGAGCAGGGCACCAGGCTCAAGCTGGCTGCTGTCACAGATGCCAGCTCATACACTGTAGAGAGTCCAGTGCTGGGGCCTGAGTGTCTAGACCTGTGATCCCAGATGGTGACACCTCCAGTTAAAGTTAGAGTGTGAATAAAACATTTAGGAAACTCGAATTCCTTGTCCCTTTCTCTTTGGAATGTTTTTACTACTTGAGAGAAGCAGCATCACACAGTGATTTAAGAACATGGACGTTGGAGTCAGACTGCGTAGGTTTGTATTCCAGTCCTGCCACGATTTGGCTGTGTGACTTTGCTCAAGTTGCTTAACCTCTCTGAGCCTCATTTTCCTCATCTCTAAAATTTGGAAAATAATAGCACCTACCTCAAGGTGGTGAGGAATAAATGATTGAATATGCTACATGTGCTCAGAACAGTATTGAATATGCTGGGAAGTGTTTGCTGTTATGTTGTTTCTTCCCTGTGACAAGTGAACAACAGGAAGTGGATCACAGTGTGAGCAAATGAGCCTGAGCCCTCTGTAGATCCCTTCGTGTGCTTGTTCAGCAAACACTATACTATATTGGGGCCAGGTCTTGTGCTGAACACCAGAAGCACAAAAGCAGTTGGGTCAACACGCCCCAAGGAGCCCTTGATTGAGCTGGGGGGAGAGGTGTGCACACCAGCCAAGATCTTTGGACTTGTAGGGTTGGATTTGATTTCCAGCTTCACCTCTTCTTGTCTGCGTAACCTTGGGCCAGTTACTTCTCCTCAGTTTCCTCATCTGCAAAGTGGGCATTGTGATTCCTACTCACCGGATTGTTATAAATTAAGAGAGAACATATGTGAAGTATTTTTTGCCCACTGTTCAGCACAGCCTGAGTTAGTACTTCAGGAGTGGCTGTTGTGACTTTAGTTAATAAATAGGCCCAGTACGTGGCCCAGGTGCTGTCTGTGGTTTGCCCAGGGCACTCTGGGCACATCTGACTTCATTTGCACTGGGCCACGTTCTCTTGGCGTGAGCCTTATGTATATATATATGGCTACCATTTTTAGGAAATGTTGAAATATTACTTTATCTTTTCAAATTTCATGAAAATTTTGAAAATTAAGGAATTTTCTTCCAGCTTACCTTATGATTTCAAAGAGATTTTATTAGTAGGGGAAACAAAAATGACCAGAGATAGCAATGAGAATCACACTAAAACAGTGGTTCTCAAAGTGGACTCTTCAGACTAACATTGTTATCATCTGGGCATTGGTTAGAAATACAGGTTCTCGGGCCTCACCCCAGACAGACTGAAACAAACTCAGGCTGGGGGCATGACAAGTTGTTTTTTAACAAATGCTCCAGGTAATTCTAATGCATGATGAAATTTAAGAACCACTGCTATGCGAGAAGGGAATGCTAGCTATTGGGAGGAAAATAGCCGTCTTTGCTGACAGCAGGTTAAATAAAGGGCCCAAAGTACATTATATATACATTTTGGCAATTGCTGGTGACTGGAGAAGCTCTTGAGAATAAAGTGGGAGAATATTTGAAGATAGCTGCCTTCAGGTCTCCTGTTATTGGGTTTTGAGGACTGGGGCTCTGGCCAGATTGGTACAGATGGTGATGCTGTCTTTGGAAGTGCAGTCCTTTGCCTTGTGAATAAAGAGGAATCTTCTTTCTTGGATCTCATGGTCCTTTCATTTGTTCCACAAATTTGGGCCACCGTGTGTATCCATCCTGGGATTACAATGAAGGGCAAGACTTATTTGGCTCCTGGCTTTGTTGGAACTTAACAGGGATCAAGGAAAGACAGATTTAAACAAATAACTCTACAAGTAATTGCAGTGAGATAAATGTTGTAAAGGAAAAGTAGAGTGCAGCCATCCTAGAGAAGTTTTTGCACCACTAAGCACGTTTCTCTGAAATCGAGTATTGCAAGTGACTGCCAGTTGCCAGATCCAGTGGTCATTTCTCAGCCTTTGTCGTAATGGACCTCTGCTCTGCTCCCTGGAAAGCTTTCTTACCTTGGCTTCCAGGTCACCACGCTCTTCCTCTTTTTTAGTTTCCTTTGCTCGGTGCCCTCAGCTTCCCAACCCTCTCAGTATTAGAGTGCCTCTCTGGCACTTCTCTGGCTGTGGTCATCTCCTAGGAGATCTCAGTTGGACTCAGGCTTTAAATGTCATACCTACACTGACAACCCTCACATTTGTCTCCAGCTGGGACCTCAACCCTGAACTCCAGACTTAGGCATCCAGCTGCTAACTGGACAGCTCCACTTGGACATCTGATAGGCATTTCCTGTTTAGCAAGTACAGGGCTCAACTCTTACTTTCTTTTTTCCGCTCTGTTGGACCTGTTCCCTTTGCAGTTTTCCCCGTTTTGGTAAATGCCAGTCTTAGCTTTCTTTTTCAGGTCTAAAACTTCAGAATTGTTCTTGACTTCCCCCTTCTCACATCCTGCTTCCAGTCTGACAGGTGCTTTGTTTAT